GGCCACGACGCCAGAGAAGAGAGAATACGAGGTCAGAATTCGAGACCAGCCTCGCCAAAATCCCATCTCTACTAAAAATGGGAGTGAAATCCCATCTCTACTAAAAAACAAAAAATTAGCCCGACTGTGGTGGCAGGTGCCTGTATCCCAGCTGCTTGGGAGGCTGAAGCAGGAGAAATTGCTTGAATCTGGGAGACAAGGTTGCAATTGAGCCGAGACCATGCCATTGCACTCCAGCCTGGCACAGAGCGAGACTCCAATCTAAAAAAAAAAAAAAAACCTTAGCCAGGTGTGGTGGTGCGCCTGTGATCCCAGCTACTTGGGGGGCTGAGGCAGGAGGATGGCTTAAACCCCGGAGGCTGAGGCTGCAATGAGCCGAGATCATGCCACTTGCACACTCTAGTCTTGGGCACGAGAGCAAGACCTTGCCAAAAAAACAAAACAAAAACCAAACCAAAACAAACAAAAAAACTGTCTTTAAAAAAATTTATTTTCATTGCTCTTTTATTTTCACTCAAATTTTTTATTTGGCCATTTTACATGCATTTCAGACTATTTTATCCCAGAGAAACAGGGAAATACTTTTTAACCTTCATTATTGTAATACTACTACTTGAACAAAATAATTATTAATGTGATAAAGACAAAACAGGATAAAATAATTAGGCCAGGCATGGTGGCTCATGCCTGTAATCCCAGCACTTTGGGAGGCTGAGGTAGGAGGATCACCTGAGCCCAGGAGTTTGAGACCAGCCTGCACAACATAGTGAGATCCCCATCTCTAAACAAAAGAGAAAATAATTTTTAGTTGACCCTTATTATAACTTTGATGTAAGTACATTACAGTACAATTTTTCAAGTCCACATATGAGGGGGTGGTTTTTTAATGTATGAATGAGGAATAATTACTTTGTTGGTTAACTATCTAAAGGGCCTGAAGGGGACAGGGGAGTTAGAGTGCCATTTCCTAAGAAACAGACAAGTATTCAGTGGGTTTTACTGCAGTTACATAAAGCATGGTTCTAGTTCACTTAGGAAGCATCATAAATATTTGGAGATATAATACATTAAGTTCTTTTATGGGAATTCAGTACGATTATTTCTAGCATGGTTAATAGTGCCCATAAAGGAACTTAGTATGTTATGTATGGGAGATATTTTTCATTCCTTCTGTATAATTAGCCAAATTGTTGACAGGCAAAATTGGGTGACCAAGGAAACCTCTCTGAACTGGTTAATCTCATCTTGACGGTGGCTGATGGAGACAAAGATGGCCAGGTTTCCTTGGGAGAAGCAAAATCAGCATGGGCACTTCTTCAACTGAATGAATTTCTTCTCATGGTGATACTTCAAGATAAAGAACATACCCCCAAATTAATGGGATTCTGTGGTGACCTGTATGTGATGGAAAGTGTTGAATATACCTCTCTTTATGGAATAAGCCTTCCTTGGGTCATTGAACTTTTTATTCCATCTGGGTTCAGAAGAAGCATGGATCAGCTGTTCACACCATCATGGCCAAGAAAGGCAAAAATAGCCATAGGACTTCTAGAATTTGTGGAAGATGTTTTCCATGGCCCCTATGGAAATTTCCTCATGTGCGATACTAGTGCCAAAAACCTAGGATATAATGATAAGTATGATTTGAAAATGGTGGATATGAGAAAAATTGTGCCAGAGACAAACCTGAAAGAACTTATTAAGGATCGTCACTGTGAGTCTGATTTGGACTGTGTCTATGGCACAGATTGTAGAACTAGCTGTGATCAGAGTACAATGAAGTGTACTTCAGAAGTGATACAACCAAACTTGGCAAAAGCCTGTCAGTTACTCAAAGACTACCTACTGCGTGGTGCTCCAAGTGAAATTCGTGAAGAATTAGAAAAGCAGCTTTATTCTTGTATTGCTCTCAAAGTCACAGCAAATCAAATGGAAATGGAACATTCTTTGATACTAAATAACCTAAAAACATTATTGTGGAAGAAAATTTCCTACACTAATGACTCTTAGTTCATTTGGACATAGTTACAATTTTAAGAAACTTGCCACTTTTAAAGAACAATTTTGAGCATTAAAAAAATGGCTTCAGATTCCTGCCAGTTACACAAAACTCCTTCCCCCAGGCCTGAGAAGCCACCAGTATGTGATTACTGAAGTAATGGCAGGTGTAAGATCAACAGGTCCCCAAGATGTCATTCCTGCCCTTTTAGAAACCCTGTTACATCTCCGATGTTCATTATTTAACTATTTTGACTGACTTTAAAAACCAATGCTGTGAAAAGCCTCATTCCATAAACATCAATAGTGAGTCATCTGTAGATTTACCTTAGTCAAAATACCAATGCTGGAAACATTGTGTTTGCATTGAAGCTGCTGTTCAACAAGAAAATTTATAAATTTACTAATGTCTTAGCATGGTAAAGTTTGCACATTAACAGAAATTAAGACTGCAAAGCAGGTTAAACTTGCTCCTTTATAAACAGATGTTGGGTTAATAGCATGGTTTATTCTATTAAAGACTTATACACCCATTTTTAACCTCATTCAGCCATCAGCTGTTATGTGTAGCTTCACAATGTTTCAAGTGGCTTACTTCAAGAAATCTTATACTTGACAATACACCAATTTTATTGACTGAAAATGGATGAACTTTCCTAAAGATTCAAAGGGCCCATCTTAGCATTACACAGCTGACTTGAGCCCTCAAAACTGACATCTTAAGGCCCAATCAAGATCCACATATCCTGACTTTGATCTTTGTGCAAGTGGGACTGTAAGTGCAAGACTAAAATAAATTATAGCAGACTTTTAAGAATAACTTTGCATTTTCAAACAGTATATATTCTGTGGGCCAAAGGGCTATTTCTTAAAGAGGCATGTAAATGTATTCATCTAATGTTTTTTTCCCCACGTAAACTTGATATTCAAGGTTTAATATTTGCTCCTTTCATATTTTCACACATATACTCAGATTTGGCATGTACCTTTCAACATCTCCATAAAATTAAACACCTTTTGGAGAAAAGATCCAGTATTTTCTGCTCAAAGGTTTCACCTACTTAAAGTGGATGTGTTAAAAATCTATGTGACCTTCACTGGACAGCTTTCTCTCAAAACTTTCCTTCAATGCCATGGATTAGCACCAGTTTTGTTTACTTTAAGGTACTTTTCCCATTAATCATCTGGTTATAATAAATGGATAGAAGAAATATTTCCCAGTGATGGCTGGTCTGTTGCTTGCCAGATTTTTAGGAAGAGCTGTTCATCATACAACATAAGGGATAATGACTCCTGTCAGGTAAAACAGAAGCCCAAGAAATAACAACTTTTTCTTAAAAAGTTACGCTTGTTTTCTTGGAGGAAAAAACCTGTCAACTCCTTTGCTTTTATAAAATATTTCAGGGTATTTCCTATAAGGTTCGTAAGAATAAGAGCTTAACACAGAAGTAGTTTCTGTCTGTAGGTTTATTATCTTTATCTGAAAAATCATCATAGAAAATTGTTTGGTTTAGCTCTCAGCAGCCCGCTCCTGAGCTCTGAGGAAGCTTGCCTTCTTTTGAGCTACCCGATCCTTCTTCTGAGCAAGAGACATTTTGGGACGGTTCCACCTACAAAAGATAGGAATATATATTTTTAAAACCATAACTGAAGAGAATAGAGAATAATTTAAAATTTTAATTTTAATAAAGTTTATTTTAAGAGAATATTCAAGACTTTGCAATCACAAGGAGGCTAAATAATCCAAGTTCAAATACATTTACTTATGTATGATCTTAAGCTAACTTTCCCAAACCCCAACTTCTATAATGTCCTACTACCACAGGGTCAAAAGTCAAATAGAAGACATGTTAGATCCAGCAATCCCACTTCTAGGTATTTGCCCACATGTTTTGAAATCAGTTTGTCCAAGAGAGTGGCACTCCCATGTTCATTGCAGCACTATATATTAATAACAACAGATAAATGGATAAAGGAAATGTGGTATACATATACATAATGGAATATTACTCAGTCTTTAAAAAAGATGGAAATTGTCATTTGCAACATGAATGGAAGTGGAGAATATTGTGCTCAGTGAAGTAAGCCAGGCACAAAAAGACAAATACTTCATATTCATATAGAATCTAAAACAATGTAACTCACAGAAGTAGAGAGAAGAATGGTGGTTACAGAGGTTGGTGGGGGTGGTGGGTGCAATGAATGGGCAGATAGTCAAGTATAAAACCTCCAACTGGAGGAATATGGTTTTATTTTAGATCTATTGCACAGCATGATAATATAGAGTATTGTACGCTTCACAATTAAGAGAATAAATTTCAAATGTTCTTGCCACAAAGTGTTAAGTATTTGAGGTGAATGTTAAATACACTGATTACTACACATTGTATTTGTAGGCCATCACATCACTTTATGCTTACATGTTCATCAAGTATTACTTTCTATTCCATTTAAAGATCAAAACATGAAAGAGCAACAAAAAGCAACTTTTTTGTCAGCCAATAAAAAATGCAGTAACCAGTACTTAGACTGTACTAGGATAGAAAGCCACCTCAGTAGTGTCTGAGGCTAACACATTTCTATCACCACAGTTACTTTTGCAAACCTGGTTCCCTTCGCTTCTGCCACATCATGCAGAGCTAGTGATCGAGTTTGCACAATTACACCAAGTCTGCCCCACGTGGGAACCACTCCCAACCTGTTTTCTTGAAAAGACCAAAAAAAAAAAAAAAAGAAAAGACGTACCTCTTCTTTTTAACTTCTTTCTTGGGCTTCTTTTCATAGACTGGATTCTCTCGTATAGCAGCATGAGCTTTCTTATACATCTCCTCCATCTGAAACAAAGGAAAGCAAACAGTACTTGGTTTCATTTCATATGCCCTACTATATTAATGCAACCGTAACTTATTTTGTCCTTCTAAGTCAGATTCTCAAAAGGAACTAAACTAAATCAATGTTGGTAAACACTAACTTCTAATAAATTCCCAATTTTTGCCTTATGCAATGTGAATTATCACTATTCATACAACTCCATCTTAAGAAAAAAAAAAATCAGGTCAGGTGTGGTGGTTCATGCCTGTAATCTCAAGCACTTTGGGAGTCTGAAGTGGGAGGATCACTTGAGCCCAGGAAGTTTGAGACCAGCTAAGGCAACACAGTGAGACCTGTCTCCACAAAAAAACTAATTAGCCAAGTGGCAATTATTAATGGTGGCATGCACCTGTAGTCCCAGCTGCGGAACTACACTTGAGTCCAGGAAGTCAAGGCTGCAGTGGCACAATCACAGCTCACTGGACCCCCAGCCTAGGTGACAGAATCAGACCTCATCTCTACCAAAAACTAAAAAAAAAAAAAAAAAAAAATTAGCAGGGCATGGTGATGCACACCTATAAACCCAGCTACCTCGGGAGCCTGAGGTGGGAGGATTGCTTGAGCCCAGAAGTTTGAAGTTGCAATGAGCTATAATTGTGCCATTGCACCCCAACCTGGGCAACAGAACAGAACAAGATCCTGCCTCAAAAAATAAGAAAAGAAAAAGAAAAATCTGCAGGTACTTCTGAGAAATTCAGCCACACTTCTTGAGTCACTCTAAATCAAATTTTTGTCGGCAGAAATATTGCGCTTCTCATTTTAAAATGCTGTCTGGCCTAGATTCTTTCATTCAAGAACAAGTGCCAAAAGTATCAGTTAAGATGATTAATGTATGTGACCAAGAGTCACAACACTGACATAGCTTAACTGAGACCAAGGACTGGATACAGGCCAACAAGCAAATTCATCTGTCATCCCACAATCCCTAGGATTTTGTTTTCCATCTTTATTTCACAGGCCTTTTAAAGTAATTCCCAGCATTATGTACCAAGGACCTCTTCTGTCTTTCACTACTACCAATCCCTAGTATCTGGTGGTAATATAAGGCCTCTAGGACCAGAAAGACGTCAGAAATTTTCCTGAAAAGCCAACTGATTAGGTATGTTATTGGGCAATTTTTTGGTTTGTTTTTTGACACAAAGTCTCACTCTGTTGCCCAGGCTGGAGTGCAGTAGCGCAATCCCAGCTCAGTGCAACCTCCACCTCCAGGATTCCAGCAATTCTTCTGCCTCAGCCTCCTGAGTCACTGGGATTACAGAAGTGAGCCACCATGCCCAGCTACTTTTTGTATTTTTAGCAGAGACAGGGTTTCACCATATTGGCAAGGCTGGTCTCGAACTCCTGACCTCAAGTGATCTGCCCGCCTCGGCCTCCCAGGTCCAGGGATTACAGGAGTGAGCTACCATGCCCTGCCAGGGCAATTTTGTTCTAAAACTCACTGGGGAAAAAAAAAAAGCTGCAACTCTCTGAATACCTAATAATTATAGCCCACTACAGACTATGTCACAGTAATCCAGGTCTCTAAAATTATTCATTCAATGTGGAGATGTGATTACTACATGTATTTGCATAAAGATTATCAGTAAAGGAAAATAATGCAAAAATGCTCACTGCATTTGAAACCTCAACTACCTATACCCATTTTGAAAGTTAATTTCCCTACCTCTTTTAGCACTCTACTATAGCTGTTCACTAACAAATAACGAATCCATTTGATGACTTCATATATAGTCATTCAACAAATCTAAGCAACCCAGTTCCTTCCAAGACATCAGACAAGTAGACATGTAGATAATGCCATGAATCAGGTAAAGACCACTTCCTGTTGGAGACACATCAGATGTCTGCATAGGATTTCAGCAGGCACACTGAAGGATAGAGGCCACTGCAGATAAAATTAATGAGCCAGCTAGAAAAATACATTAGCCAAAAAGTAGTCTAGCTGAAGGAAGGCATGTATACAGGAAAGCATTAGGAAGTAAACATCTGAAAGCACAAACTGTGAGTCTGAAAGTTCTGAGCAAGTATGACATGACTACATCAAGACATAGGTTAGGAAGTAAATTCTGCAGGACTAATAGAATCATAATCTAAAAGTAAATGACCTCTTTTCTTTACCAGGATGAAGTCGTAAGTAACAAAGAAATAAAACGCAGTAAAAATTAACGTGCACCTACATTACTGATAAAAAACTACTCTTCTTTTCCTAACTCAGAACTCAAGCTATGTATTTATTCAGCCTTTACACTGTGTCCAAAGCATAGAAATAACAGAAAGTGATCATTTCCCAACTACAACTGTTTTTATCCAAAATAGAAGCTACTACACACTAACAAAAAAGGACTTGGGTCAGGCACAATGGCTCTCATCTGTAAGCCCAGCACTTTGGGACTGGTTCTTGCATACATGACTCCCCTCATTTCTACAACATCATGCAAACCCAGTGATCAAATCTCTTTTCCTGTGTACATGTCTGAGATAATTGGAAAGCCCAGAATATAGCACACATATGCTACGAAGAGCTTCCCTCCCAGATGGTACCAAATAAGTGAAGTTTATTATCTAGCACCTCCTATCAAACAAAGCCGATTACAACTATGATTACAGGAATGACATTTACAAATACATAACAGCCAAAGCATAAAAGGTAGCCAAATCTTCAGATACTTGAAGTCTCCCACACCTGAGGATCTAAAAGATTACTAAAAGAATGTTGACACGTCTAGCTCAGTACTACCCTGAAACATACCCATATAACAATGTTACCTGCCCCCAAAACAAGTAATAAACCTATTTCTATAAATTAACCAATATAGACATTTTTAGGTAAATGTTTTACCATGTCTGGAGTTACACTGTTCTTTATGTATTGAGAGAACTGTTTCTTGTAAGCATCTTCATCTTCTTCCATTAAGTAGCGCATATAATCTGCAACATTCTGGCCCATGATGTGCTTCCGGTGTACTTCTGCATTAAATTCCTTGCTTTCAGAATCATAACCGGGGAATCGTTTGGTACTAAAATAAAGTTATTCATATTTTAGTATAGACTCACTTAACTTAGTTTATGAGTAAGAATTTACTTCAGTAGCTGCCATCAGTCCCGTCTTGAAACAATTATCGCATCATATGCAACCAAAGGACCAACTACTGACTGCTCAGTTAGTGGGATATCATCATTCAGCAGCTCATCTCTGAATTCCAGGACAGAAATGAAATTCATGCTACAAACACCTTTAAAAGCCATTACCAAGGCTTTCTACCACACAAAATTAGTTATCCAGCACATAAGCACAGGAAGTGGAGTTTCAAAACTTATACTCTAAATCCTTTAATTTTCAGTGGG